TTCTACAGGCAAAACAGCAAATAATTATCTCTCAGAAGTTGAGATAAACTCTTGGTTGGCAAGAAGCCCAACGCTGTAGAGATAAGCAGTTTTATAGCTCATCTCATTCAAATTTCAGCGGGTCAAAGGTGAAATATTTGTCTATTAGCGGTCCTACAAACATACAATATGGTTCGCAAACATTTCACCCATGTAGTCGCCAAACCTTAGTGACCTCAGTACCACTTGCTTAAATTATTGCAAGCATAACCACTAGCTGTTGTGGCCTAAGGTTATATCTACAAACCTCACCTTTAGATCTCGTTGCAGCCACATATTTTTAGAACTGGCGATGTGTATTGCAATCGTTTCAACTTTTGCAAGTTGCAACTGCTTTTGCCTAGTTTGGTTATTAGCATTTAAAGATTTTAAAAACTCTACACCTTTATGTCATGTGTAGCTTTATGTTTTTAAAGTTTTTTAGAAATGCAGATCAGTAAACAGGCAACGTATAAATGAGAAATTATGATCCATGCTTTGTAACTATATATTAAATTCCCTAAATGAAAGAAACCATACTGAATAAACTTGCAGCTTTTAGACTAAAAAACCTGCGGAATCTAATACGTGTTTCTTACCATGTGTAGCGTTTTATGCTCTATGTAGATTTTGCATTTTTGATTTGGTTTACGATGATGTACTCTGTCTTGGATGCAAAAGTACATAAATAAAAATACGAGCAATTATCTTCCTGCAATTGGCCAGATGGCCCTCTAACAAATAAGGAATGCACTGTACAACGGCGCTTTCAGTTTTTACAGCGAAATGAGAATGGTTTCGAATATAGAAATTGCCAGCGGTCAGCTAGGTGTTCCCTATGACAAAGCTTAAGAAATTGGCATTGGTTTTGCGGAAGTACGACAAGTACGATAGCAAAGGCGAGGTTGAAATAAGGCTGAATCCATTTTTGTACGAAAGTTAGCACGACTACAAAAAACCACAAATTTCACCTTTTAACATGCATAGATTAAATGGGTTTCGCCACAAAACTCTGCCTCCCGCACCTTCTACTCAACCGACTACCACTACTTAAGAACATCTCGACAAATCTCTACACAGAAAATGATTCAAAAATAACGCCCATTTTGGCCAGACTTCAGGTAGCTTCTAGAAGTCCGGTGAACAGGACTACCGACAAATGTTAACTTGCGTACGGTTGACAAGGATATGCAGATTTTTAAGGTCCTTTACCTAATGATCCGTTCGTAAGAGCTGAGATAATATGTGTGTAATTGAGTCGATTGAAGGAAATCTAAAGAATTCCTTATTAATTTCTATTCCGTTACTTATAAGTGCTAATTATATAAGTTGCTCATATGCACTTTTAGTATGCTAATGGACGTCTGTTCATAGACAAGGTTTACCCCACAGACCAATCGCGACAAGAGTTGCACGAGAAAGTTGGCGAGATGATAGCAGGCATCTTTGTTGGTAAGACTCTCTCTCATCTCCTAGTTTTCTATTTCTTCTCTATTTCTTGATCAACTATTCAGGTTTCCGATCAATGATTGCTCAGCTTAACTGGATGTCTCCTTTTGCCAAAACTGCTGCTTACAAAAAAATTGATTATCTTGTCAAGAATATTGGTTATCCAGATTGGATTACTGATGATGAGAAGCTCACAAAAGCTTATGCGGTAAGTGACCTTGCACAAGTTAACGGATGCACTGAAGCTGAGAAGCAATGAAGAGTTTAAGCTTTAATTTGAAAGGACGCAGGTCGATAAAAAAGCAAGCGAGAGGAAGAAGTGAAGAGAAGGGAAAGAGGTAGGGTGG